GCCCTGAGAGGGAGAGCTGGGGGCTGCGAGGGTCGCGGGCCGCGGGGGAGGGTGCTGCGGGTGTGCGGCGGATACCTGCTCGCTTCGTGCCTCTCCTTCGCACGCTGAGGGGCCGGAGAGTTGCATAGTTTTCTCGGGGGCTGGAGGGTGTCCCGTTCAGCCCTCATACGCATCTGGGTGAAAAGCGTCCCGTCCCTGCTAGTCCCTTTTTGCAGGCGGTCGTTGCAGTGAATGACAGCTTCGATGTAAACCTGATTTTTCATGTGCTTGCATGTTTTTAGTGAGGACTGAAACGGCTAAGTATTGATGTGATAAACAAGGTTGTCAGGAGACTTTAATTTATACACCCCACATAAAATGTGATATATGTTTTACTTCTTAAACAGCTGGTTTTTGTCCACAGTTTAGGAGGTAGTAGAGAATGTCCTTTCGTGGACGAGGAGGTGGAGGAGGAAGAGGAGGTGGCTTCAGTCGTGGAGGAGGTGGCGGTGACAGAGGTGGCTTTAATCGTGGTGGACGAGGGGGCTTTGGACGGGGAGGTGGACGAGGAGGCTTCAGCAGAGGCGGATATGACCAGGGGCCTCCAGAAAGGGTAGTTTGTAAGTTAAATGAAGATAATATATTTCTTTCACTCAGAATGACTGCTCCAGATCTTTAGCTTGTTTGTTCTCTATTTCAGTATTGGGAGAGTTCATGCATCCGTGTGAAGATGACATTGTTTGTAAATGTAGACGGGGAGGTGGACGAGGAGGCTTCAGCAGAGGCGGATATGACCAGGGGCCTCCAGAAAGGGTAGTTTGTAAGTTAAATGAAGATAATATATTTCTTTCACTCAGAATGACTGCTCCAGATCTTTAGCTTGTTTGTTCTCTATTTCAGTATTGGGAGAGTTCATGCATCCGTGTGAAGATGACATTGTTTGTAAATGTAAAACAGAAGAAAACAAGGTGCCTTATTTCAATGCCCCAGTGTACTTGGATAACAAGGAACAGATTGGCAAAGTGGATGAAATCTTCGGACAGCTTAGAGATTTTGTATCCTTCAAAAACAAAAAAGTATGATGAATGATATTTGTTTTTTAAAAGCTGATTATTGACTGGAATTTCAGTAGGATTTTAAAATAGTTCAAGGCTTGGCTACCAATTAGATGTGAACAGTCACAAGTCTGGCTGCAGCAGTTGGTGTCAGTAGGTGCCTCATTCACATTAAGTGTCTGTCTTAAAGCTTTTTCAATATGACAGAGTACCTTACATCAGGCAGAGGTTTTCAGTCAGTCCCAGTACTGGCAGATATCTTTTTGATCCATGGTGGTTCAAGATGTTACTTTTTCTAGGTATCGGACCAAATTTTCTGGTATAGGTTACTCACCTGTAACAGAGCTGGGAGACCTTGCTCACTTTCCAGCTTATTACTTAATTATGAAGGTGAGTTCCTGCTAGGATGTCCTCAAAATCAAGTTTTCTGAGACAGAGGCACTGGGCCCATTTTGTTGTCACTGCCAGATTGACAGAATCTGTGGCAAAAGTGGAACAACGGGGGAAATAACCCTGTAACATGGCAGCAAGACTTAGCCTGTGTTGGTTTGTTGAGCATCAGTAGCTAGTTGCATGTGTTTTCCTCTCCCACATTAAACATGAAGCAAAATGTGCAGCTTTAAGTCACTGTCATGCTCTACATTTATTAACTTGCAGACTTACTTTTTGTATCAGATTTACTTGAATTTCAAAAACTTGTTTTCTTCCTACAGTAACATAATAAAAAAAGTGTTACTGCGTTTTACACCTCCTTGTTTCCTCATTTAATCTTGAGTTTTAATTAGGCAGAGTTAGCCAGCAGCTCTTTTTGTTCTTAGGAACTGTGTACCAAGGTCTTTTCATACTGGAGAGCCAAAGGATTGGAACAAGACAGCATGTGGGGTTAGAGAGTGTCTGCCACCTCACTGCAGGATGAGGCTGGGCATGTGGTTGGTCCAGCAGTTCCTGTGGGCTCTTATCTTTCCACAGCCAGGCAGTTGTACCTCCCAGCAGCAGCAGCACTAGCGGAGCCCCTGCGGCATCTAAATTGTTCCAGATAAGCTTTGATGTCAACCTAAGGCTAAAGGCGAGCTATCTGCCTTGCTACACAAATTTGGTTTTTTACAATTTTATGTTTTTATGTACTCTTTCCAATGGTTTGTTCTTCCTTATGCCGTAATACGTGGAAGGAAAAAAAAAATTATCATAAAATAGCATGTTTGTCGCTATGGAAAAACTTGATCTAGTTTCTCCTGATCTTTTGCTTGTATTTTTTCATTTGCGGTGGTGATGTTTAGCTTAATTTATAAAATAGTAATTTAGAAAATGTCTGAATGTGCCTTTCATATAATAATCAAAATCACAATTTCTAATATTTTATTCCTGTTATGTTCCTTAAAGAAACTAACAGTATTTTTCAGTGAAGCTGTCAGAGAACATGAAAGCCTCTTCATTTAAGAAAATGCAAAAGGTTAGCCAATCTCAGTAACATAATTCTACTGCATGCCATGAGTTAGATAAATCTACTCCGTATCGTCAGATAATAAAAGCTTTCTTAAGTTTTTAACTTTAGAAGCTAGTTGTCCTTTGTAAACACAAATATTCATTTCCTCTTCCTTTTCACTTTTGTCTCTGCCATGTTTTTCCTTCTACCCACCCTGCAAAAAAAGATGTAAGAAATAAAACTCACACAAATGTAACCTATATTTTAGTAATTTTATAACCGAGATTATTTCTTACTTGATCCTTTTGCAGAGGATAATTTGACATAAAGGGTTAAGACCAAATTGTGGATATTTGTAAAAGGGGATATTAATGTACTCTTTAGCCTTGGTATTTTCAAAGGCTAATGGAACTCTTTTCCTACAGTTTTACATTGATCCAGCAAAGCTGCTACCCCTTCAAAGATTTTTGCCAAGGCCACCCGGAGAAAAAGGTGCTCCCAGAGGAGGTGGTAGAGGAGGACGTGGTGGTGGACGTGGAGGAGGAAGAGGCGGTGGTAGAGGTAAGATCCCAAGAATGGAAGCGGCAACACGCCGGGTTCTTTTGGAGTGGGTTGGGTTGTTTGGTGGTTTTTTTGTTTGGGCTTTTTTTTTTTTTGGTAAAGCTGCAGTTGAGTACTTGAATATCAACAGGTGTATTGCAAAGAAAAATGTGTGTATTTCTGTTTGATAACTCAATGGAAGAGACAGTGATGTCTTGGCGTTAGGAAGACATAGGCTTCTGCAGCTAGCTAAATAACGGCTCCAAAGCACAGGGAGGAGAGTTTGCTGATTTGTAACATGCAGAAAGTGGGACTACTAAGCAAATTTGTTGTACAAGGTTGTAGATAGTATACCCTCAAAACTGTCAATGAAAGCTGTATTTTTAGTAACTTCTAAAAATCTGGTTTGGAGAAAATACTTGAAATGCAGCATCTGAGGGAGGGGCGAATGACCCAGTAGATCTCATCCTTTGCTTTTTAAACATCATCTGTGATGTTCTTCTCAATTAAAGCTGAGGTTAATTTTTTCGTACATCACAGTTTTTTCCCTCTTCTCCATACTCAGCCTGTTTCTGTGCAGCAGGGCACAAGTGTTTTAAAGTTGGGGGTTTTTGTGTGTGTGTATTTTAATGTTCTGTTGAGTTGTAATTAATTAATACTCCTCCTCTGGAGACACTCAAAACCCACCTGGACGTGCTTCTGTGTGACCTAGTCTAGGTGGTCCTGCTCTGGCAGGGGGGTTGGACTGGATGATCTTTTGAGGTCCATTCCAACCTCTAATATTCTGTGATTCTGTGAATACATAATTATTAATTTGTTAATTATTAATAGTTGTTATTAATTTTTGCTCTCATGAAAGAGGTTCATAATGGAGTTTTGTGAGTGTCTTTAGTATTTTGGACATTGTACATCAGATATTAAACAATACCTGAAGTGCTGCAGATGGTCCCTAGAAGAGACGTGATACCAGTAATTGACCTAGTAACTGTCCAGCAATGGAGAGCTTCTGGTTTTTTGTTCTTGTCCCTTCAGAAGCTTTCAGTGAACTAAGTTGTTATGCATAACAAAGAATTTCTATGCTCCTCAAAGTGTAATTTCTTTCCTGTGTTTAGGAGGATTTGGAGGAGGAAGAGGTGGAGGAAGAGGAGGAGGATTCAGAGGAGGAAGAGGTGGAGGAGGAGGATTCAGAGGAGGAAGAGGCGGTGGTGGAGGCTTTCGAGGTGAGTGTATGATTTTTACATTTCAGTAATAAGAATGGCTCCTGATTTCTAAAGCTTGTAAACACTAAACAGAATGTTGTATTTTTTCATCTGTTGCAGATGTTTATAGATTTATGCAAAAAGTTTCTGTGCATCACAGTAACTAGCTTCAACTGAAGCACAGTATTTTGCATTTTTTTTTTGATGCTTGTGTGAGACCATGCTAGTTTTTGCATTCATCTGTGGGAACAGATAATAATGATAAATTATTTTATTCTATCAACTTGTTCAGTGTTTTGTGTATAATTTATTTGCTTCCAATGCATCTAAGATGTGAAATATTTAGTGTATTTTTCTTTGCTCTTAAAATAGGAAGAGGACATTAAAAATGGATCCACGAATGTCTCCCCGCTGTCTTACAGTATCACCTGCAGAAGTGAAGAACACAGAAACAACATTGTAAAGGACCCTGAAGAAGTTCTTTTTATAGAGAACTTGAAGCTGTAAAATGACAATTATTTTTCCACTTAATGACTCTCGATCAACACTTGAGGAGAGCATAGTCTCAGGCAAAGGACTGAAGACTGCTCACAATATACTTGAACTTTAACTAAGCCAGGATTCAATGGTATTCTTAAACTGTTTTATGACAAGTGAGATAGTCAATGCTTGACTTCCTGTTGGAGTTTGGAGTAAACAGTCAGTTGAAATGCTTTTTAAAAACTGCCTACGGGTTTGCTGCATGCACATTTGTCAGTGTGAACCTGTTACCTATGTGTGACTGATCCCTAGTTGTCATCCTCTTTTATATTGAATCTTCCAGGTTGCTCTAAAGTTGGTGTGCCATTTAAACAACCTTTGTGAATCTTTTTTCACAAACTAAACTAAATTTTTGTGTCGATAAAATGTTTTTATACTGTATAATAATACTGTATAAAAGGAAAGGAAGGTGGCAAAGGATATTTTGTGGGTTTTTTTCTATATAAATCTCAATGAAATACAAAGGCATTAAGACGTATTCTTCTTAAAGCTGTTATCTAATGAGTAAGACAAGGTTAATACTATTCTTAAGTTACCTAATTGTATTTAATTACCCTGTTATTAAAATTACTGAGGGTTTTCAACTGCTCCCACCTTCCCCTTTAGCATGTTTCTCTTGATGTTTTGATGTCCTGGCACCATACCTCTGTGGTGCTCTGAGCTTCTGTAGGGCTAAAATTGGATAGCCCATCATAGGGCTCCTCTGCACACAGTGCTTTCAGTTCAGTATTGCTTAAAAAGGCATGAAAAAGCCTGCATGAGTCTTTGGTCTCTTTAACTGGGGATTGTTGAAAACTAGTAACTTCTTAGGAATGGAGAGTGCCTCTCTGTTCCTTAAATCTGAAAATTAGAAGAGTAGAATTTCCCTAGATTTCATCTGGAGTCGGGAATCCATCCACAGACCTTCATACCAAACACTTCTGAGAAGAGAATAGTCCACATGAAAGTATTTTGAACATCTCGTTCAATGTGGAAAGAAGTACATTTCAGAAATGATCATACTGTTACAGTTTTTAATTAATGAATGCGGTAACAGACAAATGAGTTATATGAGCCTTCTGCCTAACAAAGAGAAACAGGTAATTTAGCACAAGGACTGGACAGATATGGGTCGTTTTAACCAACCTGTTTGAATGATCTCTGGAACAAAACTTGAAACAAGGCAGTGAAACAAATGTTGAAGAATTCTATTAAGTCTGAACATATGCTGCATAGGATAATAGATAAAAATGTTCTTCAGCTAAAAAAAGCCCACAAAAATTTGGAATTTCTGCTAGATCTGCTTTTGTGAGAAGAAAGTGAGTCTACTGTTCAACTGCAGCTCAATTGAGAGTTGAGGGATACCAGTTACTTTCCTGGTATTGCTGCAGACTTAAGTTCAACAGGTCAGTTAAATCCAGACCTGTGAAAAGGTTTAGGCTTTTGTTGCTGTGTATTGCTAGGCCTAAGTGACTTAGGGCTCTGACTTGAGTCATTGTAGAATTGTCCTTTATCTAGACAAAATCCTATGCATGTTGCATCTCTGGCATACCACATTGCACTTGAACAATACCAACCTGCAGTGAAGCTGGGATTACTTTGTCATATTTGTAATTTCATCCTCTGCTGTGCTGTATTTCTTCAGTGATGCTTCAGTAACTAGTGGGTAGCTGACTTTCCTTATTCTTACTCTTTCCTTATATTTCCTTATCTTTCCTTATTCTTCTGGCTTTGGAACACTAACATAACACAGTCCTCATTCTTGTACTCTAATTCTGTTTTGCCGTTATTTCTGATGTTTTCGGGACATTCTTTTTCCCAGGATATCAGAAGACTGTGCTGCCATCACCTTTGAATTGTATGATGTGATACCTGATGTTTCAGTTGTATGAAGTATCATGTTGCAGCCTAGGACAAGAAGTGTATGCTTTGAATCTCACAGCAGATGGAGCACTGAGCCAGCCTGAAGCTGTTGCATAGCCAAAGCAAAAACTTAGACATCTGTGTGTGGAGGGGTTAAAGAACAATATCCATTTCAGCTCTAGAGGGAAGATTATAGGGAACTGGATTGCAGTCCCAGCTCTGCAGTCCCAGCTGGTGTGCTCTGCTCACAGAGGCAATGTTGGATGGGATTAACACAACTTTACAGAGAATATTTATAATCTTAGACCTTTGTGGAGGTTCTAGGATGTTCAGAAGCTGATGGAGGAGCCTCTTTAGTGATTGGGTGTGAAATGAGCTGTCCTATGAGGCAGCAGTGTCTGGACAATATCTGCCATGTGGTGATACTTGGTTTTTTATGTTTTTTGTGTGTGTGTGTTTTGGTTTGTTTGGGGTTTTTTGTTTGGTTTGTTGTTGCTGTTGTTGTTTGTTTTTACCTTCCCCAAAATTGTGTTTGGTTGTGGCAAGGTCCATCTAGTCCCTCCTCTGCTTTGTCTTTTCTGTGCCATGGTCTGACCCTGCCCTCCTAATGCAAGTAGCTGCTAACTGTAATAGATAAAAAAATGAAAAAAATAAGATGACATGTCTTGTCTATAGTGTAATGCTGCAATGAACTAAAATACAGGCTCTCTAATTTTACATCACTCCTTCCTCTGTCTTGAACTTTTTATTCATATCCTATCTGTGATTCTGTCACTGTGTTGTTTCTAGTAATATATGTGCTTACAGATACCGTAGGCTTTTTCTGCAGAGACTAGAAAAGGTGGGCTTACCAGCGCCCTGACAGAAATAGGTATATTGGCAGGAATGGGAAGATTCAGGTAGCTGCAGTGTCTGGTGGGAAAAGAAACTCACAGTGCAGTCTGAAGTGAGGCAGGTGGGGGGAAGTATTAGGGGCAGGGCAGGCTCTTGATGACAGTTTGGTGTTCCTTGGATTTCCCCTCACTGGCAGCCTTTGGGGCTGGGCCACCTAGAGATCTCACCTGCCACCTGCTCCAGCAGCGCAGAGGGGTTCGCTGTCCTGCAGTACTCTTTTGAACCTCAGGAAGAAGGTAGGCTTCAGTGCACTCCACAGTGCTTGACTCCCCACCCAGGACACAGCAGCAGTGGTGTCGCCTACCTGTCTCCTTGTCCACTTGTCAGTGTCTGCATGCGCTCACTGTTGGCAAAGGCAGAGCATTTCACAACCAAGTCCTGTTTTCAAAATGTGTTCACAAGTGAATGCGTTAGCCACTGCAGTATTTGACCCAGACTTAGGGTCTGACTTTCAGCTGATTTTGAAAATGACAGCTGGTAAATCACTAGGATCAGATTGCTTAAAGGTATTTAGAAGACCTTCAGCCTTTTGTCCTTGCCACACTAAATTTCTGATTTTATATTTTTTTCTATGCAGGATCTAAATTCTTGCTAAATGGAGGGTTGCACGTGGAGGGGTATTGTAAAGCTGAAGTTGTTACCCACTGAGAATGGCCCCTGCATTCCTTTTTGGAGGGATGTTTTTGTCCCTGTGCTTTGTGTAGTTGCTGGGATAGGACGATTCCATGTAGTTTGTAGATTTGTTATGTTACTTTGAGAGAGAAATTTGATGAAGTGCAGAAAATAATTGTGATGCTTTAACATATGTCTGCAGCACTGGCTGTTGTAGGACAATAAGGATTTTCTGTAGCACTGATACAAAGTTACAGACATTAGCCCGAAGCAGTGCTGGATAGTCGCATGCATACTGGTGCAAAGTTATTTGCAGTTGCACAAAACATTGTCTTGGAAAGAAACAGTGTTAAAAGCATAGCTACTGCATGAAGTATGGCAAGTAAAAAGCTTTGTGGAATCACATTTTTAGGGCGTTTTCTTCAGTTAGCTGAAAATCACTGACGCCAAACTTTTCTAATCAACAGTATAAATCTAGCAAAAGTCTCTGTGAGGGAGGGAAAAAAGTAATTTATTAATTTGTTTTCCATTGGGTTTATACCATTTGCATCTGTTTGTGAAAATATGACTAAAGGGAAGTTCTGCCTTACAGAGCCTTCTAGTGTGATGTCCTTCATAAACGTGAGAGGGTTTGGTTTTGGTTTGGGGTTTTTTTTAGTGCAATTACCATTGAAAATAGGAGAGAAGTGTTGGTTTTATTTTTAATTGTTTTTTTTATGCAAATGGTATGTTTCTCTAGTCTCATCACTTGTGGATTGAAATATACTTTACACATAACTCAGTTAATGTCTGGAATCCTATCTGAATAAAAATAGTAATGCTTTGCTTTTCTGAGACATTCAGTGTTGCAAGGTCTGACTTGTGTGGAAGCTGCAAGATCCGAGTTGCTTTTGAAAATCTTGCCAAAGTTTCAGAGGAGGAAAGCAGAGGTATCAAATTATCACTATGCTTTTATCTTTCAAGGCAGGATTATGGGTCATTAGGGAAGTGGCTTTGTTGCCAAACAGATCATTCCTTTCGGAACCCTCCCACCTTGTTCCTACCTAATCCTCTTCTGACAGAAAAAATACCATAATAATGCAAGTACCCTGAGAACTGGAAGAGTGGAGATCTGTGACATTAAAGAAAATGTTTGCTAGTAGAACTGTGACACATGGTTGTATGTAGTAATGGTGACTAAATGTCATGACTGCACAAGTTTTATAGAAAAATTTTCTTACATTTACATTAAAATGGGTGAAAGATGCAGGATATCCGTTTTGGAAAGCTGAGGAGTAGGAGGCAATGCTCTATGAGTATTTCATGGGTTAGAGGAGTTGTTCAGTTGTTCTTGTGTATGGGATGGCTGTATTCCTCAAGACTGCCTGTGCATCTGCACCATCATTGCTACTCCGAAGACACAGCCCTAGCCTGGGGGCCTGCTTGAGCTGCCTGTGAACTACATACAGCTGAAGAACCATTGCCTGCTCATCCTTCTCACTTTTATGCCCAGTATGAGTACAAAACTGGAGGCTAAAACGTGTGAAGGGGAACTGGTGGGAAATGCCTTCTTTGATTGCTGTTACTGATCCTGTATATAAGCTTTTTGAGCAAGGGTTTATTGCAGCTGACATATATATTGGATTTTGTAAAAGGTCTTTCCTTTGGTGTGCTACTACCTCATCACTGAAGAAAATCTGAGCTTCTGTTGCTCAAGGCTCTGGAAGAAGCCTAATAATTTTCTGCCCAGTAATATGCTTTGGAAAATTTACCTGAAGTAAACTGACGTGTGTGTTTGGGAGAGGGAGGGTGTTCAGATTTGTAAGGTATGTTCAATAACTGTTTTCTGCAGACCAGAGTATTTTAGAAATGTAGCAACTGAGTTTTCTGAAAGTCATGCTTCACTTGAGAGAATACTGGACTGTGTTCTTGTGACTCTGTCAGCTTGAGAGTTTCAATCAAACTAAGACTCTTGAAGAGGTAAGTGTTTAAGGATT